AAAACGTTTAGTAAATGTCAATTTTGTAGGTATTTGAAAACAATAATACTAATAGTTTAACCACAAATTATTTTTTCGATAAAACGGTTCAAAACATCCAACCTTTAAACATTTAAAAATAAAATGGTTTCCGCAACAGGTCTATAAAAACAGAAATAAATTATTTACAATAAATATTCTTTCTATACTAAGGATACTCAATTCATTCACATATAAGTAGCATTGTCGTGCTGTAACAAGGAATGTTTCGTCTACACTACTACATCAGTGCACTGTGTGTTTCATAGCGTTTTCGACTTAATTTACCCTAAAGTGACCTCGGATCATATTTACACTTTTTAAATGCAACTAGAGTGCAAATCTTACTCTTTTAAGTCCAACATAGTACAGATTTTACAGTGCACACAAATGTCTAAAGGAATGCTGATATGGGAGATAACATTACCTCAAAAGTCAGTTATGTTAATAATATTTAAAAAAAATATTATACGCCTGTTCAAGTAAAAACCAGATACAAAACAATACTAAAACAGAAGAAAGAAGCAGTAGAAAACAACAGATACACAGGAGAAACTAAAATTAACTAAAATTGCTGCACTTGACGATAGCATCCAGCCTGAAGTATTACAATCTGGAAATAATGTGTGAGTATTAAAAACACCAACAAATGCACAGGATAAAGCTAAGCGTTTAAAAATTAAATCCATATAGGAAACATTAGAAGAAATTTACAAACGGAAAGAATAAAATAAGGAAAGAAGACACCGTGAAAAAATGGAATTATTTGAAAAACTGTTTAATAAGTAAACATATCACAATTTTGTTATACATACCAGATCTTTTGAATTTGTTTTTTTTTCTTTCTCCTGGGCTCGTCTGACTATGTGTCTCCGAATAACACTGAAGCCTATTGGCTTATTGTGTTTTACCCCATGTTAGTTCATAGCACCCACTCTGTCACCTTTGTACCTTGTACAAGTTTGTACAGATCCTTGGGTGAGTGGGTTCTATACATTGTTGGATCAACCTGGGGTTGTCCAAAAAGAGCCTGTCTTTTGCGATCTAGAGCTTCGCATTTGCACAGTATGTGTTTGGCCGTTTCTGGTTTCTTGTGACATAGTCGGCACATGAGTTCCCAATTGTACATGCCAATTTTGTTCCAGTGTCCCTTTACTGGGGCGTGCTCAGTCATGAATCCACTTTTAACTGGTTCGTATTTATTAAAAGTAGTTCTCCAGTTCTTTTGGGACATGGTCTGCCTATGAAGGCTTTTCGATGTGTCTGTTTTGGGGTGCTTCCCCAATAGTTGATATGTTGTTACCGAATCTAGTCGTTTATGAAACCCCGGACTGTACTTTTTGGTACTCCTGGGTTTGTGTCTGGTTCCGGTGTTTCTTATGACCCCCTTTTTGCAAGTTCGTCAGCCTTTTCATTGCCTTCAATCCCTTGGTCACCTGGCACCCAAAATAGTTTTACTCTATTTCGGTCTACCAGTGTTCTTAGTTCTTCGATACATTCCCATACCAGCCTCGACGTAACTTTCTAACTCGATATGGCCTTAAGTGCCGCTCGGCTGTCTGACATTATTTGAATATGCTGATTTTCGACAGCTCTTTCATTGTTCGTTTTTGTACATTGCAAAATTGCGTATACCTCGGCCTAAAATACCGAAGAATGTATTTCTATAGCATAGCTATGGTAAGTATCAGGGTTTTTAGAGAATACTCCCGCCCCAGTGCCTTCCGCAGTCTTAGACCTGTTTGTATACCAGGTTTGTTCCTGTTGTTGGGCATTGGGCTCCCTTATGGTAATCTCCGCTCTTTCCTGTATTAAAACCTCAAATGGAGTATTAAAAGAGTACCTCTTGGTTATGTGGTCTAATCTCATGTCTAGCACGTTTCCTGTCACTAACCTTGAGATACTCATGTGACCTGGCCTAATGTCAAGATTTCCCAGTGTATTCCCTAATCTGTAAGCACCTTATCTTGCCTCCCCTTGTATCATATAGTGAAAAGGTGGGAGTCCTATTAGTGCTTCCATTGCAGCAGTGGGGGTTGTTTTCATTGTCCCCGTTATTCCGAGGCTGGCAAGTCTTTGTACCTTGCTTTCCCTCGTTATTGCTTTCCTTTGCTGTATCTTTGGCCACCACACCAAAGCTGCATATGTTATTATCGGTCTCACTACCATGTTATAAAGCCAATATACCATGTCTGGTTTTAACTCCCATTTTTTCCAAACGATCGCCTTGCCATCATTAACGAGGTTTCCGCTCTCCTTGTGGTTTTTTTAGATGCTGGTTCCAGGTAAGTCTCGAGTCAATCATAACACCGAGATATTTTACCTCCCCCTTAAGCTGGATGCTTGCACCTCTTAGGTTTAGAGGCCGTAGTCCCTCCAATTTCCTGCTACGGGTGATTGCAATTATGTCAGATTTGTTTGGGCTAATGTTTATTCCGCCTCTGTCCATTTTGTTACTGCCTCTTGCATTCGATTTCTTACTATAGTGTTCTTGTGCCATGTCCCTTATCTTTGAGAGCCCTAAGCAGCTTGTCCACTACAAGGTTCCACAGGAGTGGAGACAGAACCCCACCCTACGTACATCCTCTCGCTACCCGTGCCGCTATTATCTCTCCCATAAGGGTTGTGTGTATAGTTCTCTCCTTTAACATAGAGTCGATCCAGGACACGCACGTGTCCTCGATTCCTCTGTGTTTGAGAGATCTAATGATCGATTAAACAGAGGTATTATCAAATGCACCCTCGATATCCAAGAATGCTCCCAGCATTACCTCCTTGTTTTCCAGTTTATTCTCCACCCCTTTTATTAATTGATAGAGAGCTGTTTTAGTTGATTTCCCTGCACTATAGGTATATTGTTTTTGGTATATTGGCCTCTGAACCAATATCCCGTTTCTAATATGCCTATCTAGCAGATTTTCCAAAGTCTTAAGTACAAAGAACATAAGGCTTATTGGTCTTAGGGACTTTGCCGTTTCCTGTCCTATTTTCCCAGGTTTTGGTATAAAAGTTACCATAATATTTCTCCAAGCTTTTGGTATGTGTCCAAAGGCCAGGCTACTTCTGAGTATGTTATAAAATATCAAGACCTCTTTGTAACATTATTAGATAAATCCCGTCCATGTCCGGTGATTTATATGGTTCTAATGAGCTAATGGGCCCATTTCAGTTTATCATAGTTCACCACTTGTTTGGCTATCCTCCAATCTTCCCTGTTTGCTCTATTATGAGCTTCCTGTCCGTTTATATTCCGGTTAGCCGGTGTGTGTGCTATGGTTTGTGCACCAGGGAAGTGAACCCTGAAGAGTTCTTTTACTGTTTTCTTCCCTGTGATTGTGTACTCCCCAGTTCGTTCTTAAGGGTGTTTAATGTGTGTTGTGCGTCTTTTGAAAGAATTTTTTGAAGCCTGGCACATTCTTGAGTACTTGCTATCTCCTCACACAGTACCTTCTCCCTATTGACTTTTCCTAAGGCTATGTTGTAACAGGTGTGTATGGTTCTATATAGTTCCCATTCGCCAGTTATTTTAGCCTTATTAAATTTTTGTCTCACCTGTTTCCTTAGTATAGCAAGGTCATCATTCCACCATGGAATGTTTACATTAACAAAATATGCACAAAACATTCACTACTATAATGTACTGGATTCGCCACGAGGTCCCGAAGCTCGTGTTGAAATATATGCAAGATTAGTGTGCACTATTTGGTAAGTCGAACACAAAAAACGAATAACATGCATCTCTAAAAAATAAGTCGAACATTCAAAATATAATGAGTGCAGCTTAGTGCAGTGACAGGGCAGTAAGTCGAAAACGCTAGTATTCGTTAAACAATGTGGTGTGATGGTGATTTATAGGCAGCATTACTTATCTCCACTAAAAATAATATTTTTTAAAGTGATCACGTGGATTCCACAAACACTCTGTATATAACTAAATTAAATTTAACTGATATATTTTTATGATGCACACCTTCCAAATAGATTTAATTAAATAATTAAAACACCCAAACTATTACAAACCAAGCTACGCCACATCGACAAACAACGAAATATTATTATTTAAAAAAACGTCAATTCTGTATCGTTATATTAACGTAAAATAAATAACGTTTAAGAAACGCTATTTTTAAGTATTTTCCGTTACATTCATATAAAAACGTTTAACAGGCGTAGTTTTGCTACCTGTGGATAATCCGCATTTCAGAAAAGGCTTAATCACGTACTACGCAATTTACAGAATGTATTGAACATTTTAAACATTACATTTTCAATGCAATTTATTAATAAATTTGAAATGCAGAACTAACATTTAATTTCTATTATTTTTAACATTAAAAATAATTTGGTTAGATAGCTACTACTTTTTTTACGAAAACAATAAAAATTAAAAATGTATGTTTATTTCAATGACAGAATTGTTTGCTTCTGCTAAAAATTAACTTTCATTAAAAAAAAATACGTCACAGTAACAAAGCTTATAAAACTTGATGAGTAAATTTATTGATTATAGATTTTCTTTGTTTAAAATATATTAAAGTAGCTATTTAAAAAAGTTAATTTTTATAGTCATCCTACGAAATTCTTAGCACTCATTTTTTAAATAACAATATTAAATCTACTTATATTTAAATATTTGATTTATAAAAATAAATAAATAACATAACTAATATTTAAAATTTTAAATGCTTTTAAAAATAGTGATTCAAATTTATCGATTTATTATTTTTCGATAAATATAAAATAAGATTTGGAATAAAAAAAAAACATTTTTTTTGCCATTTACACCTATTCATGCGACAAACTGTAAATACACGAAACGATTCCTATTTATATTTATTTTGTGGAATTTTAAACAAACACAAATTAATATAAAAGAAGATAATATGTAGATCTAGTTTTTCGGAAATTGTTCACATTCATAACTTTCAATCATCTATTAATATAACAAACAGTAACAATACCATCACATTTCTGTCATTCAGTCCCGACGGTCATTCGCCCAACGATTCAGACCAAGCCAAATGGCCACTACAGCCCGGGGTCCTTATCCACATTAACAAAATGAATAACGTTAGCATTAGTCAAATAACACCCAGAGTTACCCCTTACAAAACGACTTCGGTAGCAACCTTGCGAAAATTCTCGAAATACTCGAAATACAAACGAAATAAATCCAAAATATACAACAAGTTGGAGAGGATTGCGAGTTTTTTAGGCATGCATAGGGGACGAGAAAGGATACCAAGCGGAATTAAGGAAAGTGCAAACGGAGGTAAGCATGAATTATGTTCTAGAATAATTTGTTTGTCAGTAAATATGTTAAAACATTATCTTTTTGCCGTTCCGATGTATTTAAAATATAAACTAGTCCATAAATAATTATGTTGAATAATTATTGAAAATATATAAGTTGTATTTGTTTTCTTGATAAAGATTTAAAAAGAGAGTCTTTAAAGAATATTTTCAGGCATCGTCTCTATATGAAATATTAAAAAAAAAATTTAATTACTAAGATAGTTTGATCACCAACAACTAAATAGTTAACTTGTAGTCGCTGAAGTGGAGTCTAGCAGACTCCAGCAATTTAATGGCTTAAACTAAGGCAACAAAATAAAATAAACAAATATCTATTTACTTAAGAATAACCGTTTACACATTTTTTTTGGCAAAAATCAAAAATCATGTAAAAAATGTGTTGAAACTTTAAAACAACAGATACTAGAAAATAAAAATGTTTATTTGGTAAGAAATAAAACATTCACACATATTACTTAGAAAACAAAGACAACACTGAAAATAACTATATCAACCTGTGAAAACTCTTATTTTTTTAAAAATCGTGCGATAGGTTCTGGTTCCCTTTCCTCGAGACACACTATCACCATCTAACAATTTGCCCATAAATATCATCAAAAACACTCCGATGACCTCAGTGACGGCTTATCTGAAAGTACTTGGTTTAAAATTCATTATTTCTAAAAAATAATAGAAAAATTATTTCCGCACACTGAGTCTGTAAGACTCCTTTGATGCTTGAAATCCACTTACAGATATGTACAATTACCAATAAATGCTATGCTTAGATTTACAAGCAGATAATTACTAAACAGAAAGGTACTGAATGCGGCATTTAGTACCTTTGAGAAGAAAGTTCTGCAGAGTCAGAAGGAGTCTAGTAGACTCCACCTCAGTAGTTAAGGGTTAAAGCAGATACAGCAAATTAAAGCGAGCAGACTTTAATATATAATGTTCAACTAATGTATAATATTTGGTAAACAAAGGAAAAAGACTGATGCGGGAAAATAATTTCAGATCACACGTTTTTTACAAATAATTGATATGCGTGATAGGTAATTATACTGCTGTTAATTTCACCCCATTTGTATGCACAGTTCTTATTCCCAATTTTTCCAAATCCCGCTCTACTGTATCTAAGTATTTTAATCGTGGTCTCCCTCTTTTTCGTCTCCCAGTTTTATCCTTTTATTAAAACTTGTTTTGTTGTAATATTATTTTTTATTCTCGTTACATGACATAGCTTACTCATCCTTTGGGCTCTTACCACATTCGTAATTGATGGTTATCCATACAATTTTTCAAGTTTCACATTGGATCTAGTTACCCGAATATCTTAATATTTTCTTTCACCATATATATTTTTTCATAGTTCTTTTCTTTCGAAAACTTATAGTGAGTAATTTTCTTTTATATTTCATTTCTGTACTCATCCCTCTGGCCCTAAGTTGTATAAGCAGAACCTTTCTATGGAATTTCTGGAGATATTCTTTTTTCTTAGGATATTTATATTTTGTGCATGTAGCCACCGTCTCCATTATTTGTGATGGTGACCCACAGATAGTTAAAACTCTACATTTTGTTCTCTATATTTCTGAACCATTTTCTAATAGGTACTCTTTTTTTATTGTTGATATCAAGTTATCCTTTGTTCTGGTCAAAATAATAACAAGTGTCATCTGTCTAGGATATCAACTGAGTTCTTTTATTTTTTGTCTGGATCTCACTGATTTTTATTACTGCTTCTAGCTTCTAATGTTACATTGAACATGGAGCAAGAGAAGTGTTTTAAACCCATTGTAACTTTTTTGAGGTTTGTTTTTTAATAAGTACAGGGTCATATATACTAATCGTATCAGTTTTTGCGAATTACCAAACCTTTCATTGAGTTTTTATATTTTTTTTTCTTTCTTCACTGTGTCGTTAGGATTGGTAAAGAAAACTGAATATTATGTTTTAAACTTACATGTAGCCTCCACCACCTCGAAGTTTTCTGATTCAAACTTTTCTGATAATCGTTGGTTAGAGACCTTGTCTAGTTTGGTCTTTTGTATTAGACTATATAGACTAGAAAGTAGTTCTCTGGCGTAGCTAGTTGCCCTTGGTTCTCCAAGTGTAGGGAATGTCAGTTTTATTTGACCTTGCAGTAGCATAATATTCTGCAGTTTCCTTCTTCCTAACAAAATCGGCACAATGTATCTTCTCTCAGACAAATATTATACATGTTTGTAAAGCCTACAATGAACCGGTAATAGACCAACTAGTACTCTAGTATTTTTTTTATTATGACACAGTAGATGCTCAGTGAGTGTTGGCGACGGTTTTCTTAAGAACTCTTTGGTCTAAACTCTGTCATGGTGAATTTTTTACCATTTCTGAGGTTTTTTTTTAATAGCCACTGCTTTGTGCATATTCTGATACATGACTTTGTGACACCATAAAAGGGGAGCCTTTGGGGCTTCTTATCGGACAAGTTTATCAGCCTCTTCATTACCCTTATGACCTCTGTGGCCTGGTACCTAGTTAATGATTAGTGTGTTTTAAATACACAGCTTTCTGTTAAGGCTATTAAATAGTCCCACCTGCATAGAACTGGTCCAAATTGGCGCTTTTTTATCAATTTGCATTATTCTATTTAAACCTGTAGTTTACAAAAGAACTCGCTATGTGTCACCTCACACGTGCTATGTTTCTTAATTTGCCCATTGCCTAATGTCATTTGACTGTCTGAGAATATGACAATGGTTTCTCCATTGACCTTATATCTTTATACCTCTTTGCTCATTAAGATTCTTGTCTTTAGCTTGGCTCTACATTCTGTTACTCTATTTATTGTATCCTTTAATGCCATTGCCATTTACTTATTCGCGGTATTGGCCAACGAATACCTTTTAATATCCCTTGGTACAGGTACGTTTGATAACTGCAGCACTAGACCAAACAGGAGAGGAACAAAACCAGCGATGCCAGCCTATACGGCCTGGCCGACGTTACAATGCGATTAGGTCGTATAAATAACATAGCTGACACTATAAGTTTTACGCTAGCTTCAATATCAACTCTCTGTAGCTTTCATACGCAGTACTGCAAGTCTTTAGGTGGCCGATAGTGCATAGTATTCTGTATTGGAATTATTCTGTAATTTCTGTAATTCCTGTGTAAAGGGCAAACTAGTGTTTCTTTCTATGTATTAGTAATCTCTTCGTCCTCCCAAACCCTACTAATTATAATAATGTTTATGTTACCATTAATACCATTTTTTTCTCCTGGTGCTTTATTTTTTTCACTAATTTAATAATTGTGTTGCTATTTTTTTCTTTTGAAGGTAGTTCTTACCGTTTATTATTATCTAGGGATACTTCAACATCAAAATGAAACAAGTAATTTGAAATATTGTCTTTCCTCTATGCCTCCTACTAGCTGTTCTTTTTGTTCTTACACATCAATATATTTGTTTTATTACCTCTACGACAACTTTTTCTCACATGTATTCTCTAAATATTTCCTTTCTTTTTTTCACTTTTCTTTCTTTTAAACAGTTTCTCAACTTAATTTCCATATTTTTTTATGAGGTTGTCTCAGAAAATAAATATTGTGGTTTATTTTTTACTATAAAAAAAATAACGTTAAAAAAATGAAACCTAACTTAAAAATTTGAATAGCACTTATTTTATTTTAACTCCTATTGGCTTACTTAAATTTAGTAGGTCGAATTTAAATTGTAATACACATATTCAGAATCTGTGTATAGCAACTTAATAAGACCTAGACAATCCAGAAAAAAAAAACATAAAAGTAAAATAAATACAATGAAATTTCAGTTACTTAGAAAAATTGGACTAATCAGAAATTAAAAAAACAAAATATTTTAAATTTATTAAATGGTACTAGTTGTTATTTAATATTACTTGTTAGACAAACAAATTTTCTGTTAAAATTTGCTTCTACCATTTTTTTGCATTGCTGATTTTTGCATTGTACAATCATATTGCATTTTTGATTTTTGTTTTGGCATGCTAGTTGTGACATTTAGAAAGGTGCATCCTAATTCACCCCTCCAAAACCCACCAGTTAGAGGAAGGAAGAGGAAAAAACCTGGATCTGGTATGTAACATAGATAATTTGATGTAATTTGTGTCAATATTATTTATTAATAAAATAATTGCTTTCTCTTCAAAATCCTTTAAAAATTTTAATCCAACAATTTCCAAAATTTATTAATTTATTTACTTATGATTATACTCATAATGATAATTTAATTTGTTTTTAGTATTTTCAAAACTATCAATTTCGAAATATTTTCAAAACAAACAAATAAATATTTTTAAAGAGTCCTCCACTTCCGGGGATATTTTTTAGCTACTAGCTTTGTTCATAGAGGATCAGAAACAATTTCCAGTTTTGTGCGAGTTCAATATATATGAATGCAAAATATACGGCTGTTCAAAATTATCGCAAATTGCTTTGAGTTCCATGTCAACCATTATTTCTCTATAAATATTATTCTCGTTTCATCATCCAGTTATCGATGGTCCAATTTTAATCCACCTAGGATTTCATAGCACAGTGGTGCGATAAGTTTGAACAGTAGTATATTTAATGCACATGCGACTGGAAATTAAAACCAGTTTCTAATTGTTCTACGAAGTAAGCTATTACTTCTCCAGGCGGCAAGTAGTTTCCAGTTGATTCCAACAAAGATTTTTTTATTTTATTTTTTTTACATATTTTACAAAAACTGTTTTTAAAATTGCGATTGCTTTAGGTCTCCAACTGTTGGAATCAAACCCATTTTTTACCCATTTAGACTTGCCGACTGGACTACTTATACCATTATTGAAACGAAATTAACGACGTCGCCAAATTTTTTCTACAATATTATTTATTAAAATGTTTTTATTAATTTTTCAGCACCCAACATGTCCTCTACAGAAGATAAACCGAGGTTGGGGGTTGGCCTACCTCTTGGAGGTACTGCAGACCCCTTAAATGATCCCGATGGGGGCTTCTACGAAAATCTGCCATTCCATGGAATGCAGAATCCGCCAAATAAAGTAAGAAAAACATTGGTTGACACCTTATTTTTATTTTCAACATTACCTACCCTTTTATCAGAGATTTTTTTTAGTTGACTAAAATGTATTAGCCATTAACAAAAAAAAAACTATGATCCATTAGTATCAAAATGTCCAATATCTTCGGCAGTATTATAAAAAAATATTTACAGAACGGTACAGGCAACTTTAAAATCCATATTTAAAATTATTTTTAAATATATAGGGTGTTTAATAACCTCAGTCGGGATCAAACTAGAACAGCAAAAATGTGAGGATTTTCTAATATAGAAATGTATTTATAAGCACGCCACTGGGAAAACTTCACGTTGTTATGTGTCTCGAGAATATTGAAAGCTTTAAATTTGTGTAACGATAAGACAGCACTCTACAGTTACACTTCTGTTTAAATTATTATTATTTTTGAAACAACCAAAAACTTTTTTGAACAAAAACAATTTCTCTCAAAGTCAAAAATAAAAAAGTGTTTCCTCTTTTTCGTACATCTAGGGACTATAAAATACCACGTATAATTCCATATTATGTGGCATTGTTATAATGAAAAAAGCAAGGGTAATTCAAATATAAAATAAAATACGGAATCATGCGTTTATAAGACAAAAGTTTGTCCCAGTTTGAAGATATTTAACACCCTGTATATACGAACTTAATTTTTAAATATTTAATTTAATAGTATCTGCCATTCTTTTTTTATTTTTTTCTAGTGCCGGATATATTTTTCATATCTAATGAGTCCCTGTATATTTTTTACTTATATTTGCATTTTATTTTACTTTTTGTTTATTTTTGCAGCCTATATCCATAATAGCTCCTTTTCACCAAAGAAATCAAGCTCACATGTTTTTACCGCCCTCTATGTCTGCTAAATCTTTAATATCTTCATCGCAAACTTTAGTCTGTCAATCGCCCATGCAATCAAATCAAAATATATTTAATCCTGTCAAAAGAAACCAATCGTTCAATGGATTTCAAAATACTCCGTTCAGTAGGACCCCGTTTGCTACTTCACAGCAAATTTTTAATATAACGGGAAATTTAAATAATGGTTTCATTAATTCTGCTTCTTCTCAGCGTGGTTTTAATAGTCACCAACGTTTGCCAACAGTATTTCAGTATTTACCCTCAAATTTCGAACAGCCCACTGGTGCCTTTACTTTCTCAGGAATATCAAATAATAATCAGAAAAATTTAAGCCTACAAAATTTACATAATATTGCTACATCTGCTGAAGCAATAGCTAATAGAATTAGTGGCAGAAATGAAGAAAAATACGATATTAGAAAAACTGCTTCTGGCATTAACAAATCTTCTGAGGAGCCAAGAAAAGGTTGTGAAAAAAATGAATTAAGAAGATTTGGAAGTACTAGATCTAATCGTAAACTTACAACGATAGCTGAGAAACGCTTTGGATCGTTGGACCTCAGGAAACATCATAAATGTTACTCACCAACTTTTTATTCAATGAGATGTAAGAAACATGCCAAAAAGCGTCCAATAATAGTCACTCTGCCAAAGAAGTGTTTCAGCGAGTTAGCTTTGAATACTACCGAAACGGAAAAACCAAAACCCATTACAGAAAATTTAACAGACAGTATTCAAATTACCGAAGAAAGTCCTGAAAAGGAGAGGTTAAGTAAATCTTTACCGATTCCTGCTCCAAGATGTATGAGAAAGAAACACGAAATAGTTTATGCAAATATATCAAAATCTTTAAACAGTTCAAATGCTTCTGATCAAAATACTTCAACTAGTTCAAACGAAAACGAAGAAAACGAACATTCTGTAACTGAAGTTGAAGTTCACGCAGAAACACGAACTGCAGCTGACGCAAAAAATATTTTTAATAAAAAACTGACTTCTTGTCCTCTTACCCCTCTATCATCAACTTTGGTATCTCAAATTGACAGTAAACCGAAGTTAGTTGCTGTGAGTCCGAAATCGAATTCTCTAATTTTGCTCTCACCGCAAGCTCTGAAGAATTCTCCTGTTCTGAAAGTCAGTCCCAATTTTATTAAACCGAAAACGGAAAGTCCTAAGGGGGCACTTTCTCGACAAATACAAGCGAAAATTAAACCCTCGCCTAATGAAAGTTCTAATACCCTTAATAAAAGTAGTGCGGTAATTGAAGCAGATGACAAAGTTGACGGTAAAACTAGTGAGCATATTTCTAACGTTCCCAAAATGCCAATTCTGAATTCAATGAATAGCTGGAGCCCTAATATTACTAATAATAATCAGGTGTGTTTTTTTTGCTTATTTTTATTTTAATTTAAAGTTCTGAGAGTTTATTATTAGAGCACAAAAGATATAAAACTTAATCTCATGCCTCATTTCATCCATAGATCAACTAACCTCTACTCTTGATGGATCAGGAGATTGCTTTGTGTTGATCGCAAAATGTCAATATCAGAAAGTAATGGATCCTATAATATATAGAGTGGTTTGTACGAGTACATTATGATTAATAAATGGACCAAGTACTTGTTAAATATGAGTTATATATGGAGAAGTGAGTGCTCGACCCGTTCCTCATATGATAGATAGATGCACTATATAGTAAATTCTCAGATCATATCATCCATTCGTTTAACATACTAATACTAACAACTAACTTATTTTCAGAATGCTTTCTATACCTTATCAACTCCAAATTTCAAGCAACTTAACAGCGTCGTTCCTCCCCAATATTCAGCAACAATACCACATCAAAAGCACACCAAATTAATACCAAAGGCTTTATTTCAAGAACAAATACAAAAGAGCAAATCGTTTTCTTCCAAGTCCAAACAAAAGAAAAATCATTTTCAAATTCCTCTTCAGAAATGTCACAGTTTCAAATTTCAAACGGCCGAAAGCTATTTCCAGCCGATTAAAAATATTCACGAAGAAAATTTGATGCGAAACGGTTATATGTCGGATTATCCCGAGGGTAGCGCGCATAGAGGACGCCACCATAAAAGGGATAAGTACAAGCAAAAGACTAAAGGTCCTCTGGTTGTCAGGAGGCCGAGCGATTACCAGGAAAATATGCAGTTTCAGGTAGTGCTTCATTGAGATCAAGAAATGTTGATTTTTGAACTGAATTTTACCATTTCGGCCAACTTAACTTCCAAACTTTTACAAAATAAATAAAAATAATAACAAAGTATTAGTAGTAGTTCGAATTCTTGTTTTGATATGATACTGTAGGTTTCTTTTTAGACCATTGATGATTCTCTACATTTACTTCCAAATTTATCAAAAATAGTTAATATGTTGCCATCCAATATACTGTTGACTGAAACCCATAAAAATCCCAGAAAACTAGGTTTGGTGAACACTCATATTTTTAAAAAAATCCTCGACCACTTTTACTCTTTGTAACTCTTGACCATAGATAGCCTTTTGGAGCCTTATAATAATTTCTTCCTGAAAATCATCATCATCATCGTCATCGCCGTTTAATCCAGTAAAAGCAATTCCAATAAAATAAAACCTATTTGATATCTTTTAAACTATCCTTAATATTGTAATATCGTCTTATATGTATCTTTTTTTGATCATTAAGGCACTGTTGATGTTATCAAAGGCAACTAAGTAAATTTAAATGTTAAAATAGATTCAGGGACCAACACCGAACACAATCTCTGACACAATGCATAAGACCATTTAGTCACTTACCAAAAGGCGTAATTCCAATGATTTAAAGGTTTAAATAGAGCAACAAATCAACATTTCAATATTTTGCTATTAAGATGAGTAATTTCCCTTGATCATGATGAACCGCTACCTGCTTTTAGGAAAACATTCAAAATTCAGTGCAGCTTCAATACCCGCAACCTATGCTCGCAGGGCGCACCATGCATGGGGCTACTAACCCAAATCCAGCTAAACCAAATGGGGTTGTCTACGCAGACCTAGATATGCCTTCTAATAAGAGGAGTTCACACGATTCAACTTCATCTAAATCCAAATCAATACAAAATTCCAAACAAAAGACTGAGTACGCAACGCTTAAGTTTAACGAGATTGGTCAAGAGATTGACGTCTAACGTACAATTTTGATATTTTTTTATTAAGAAAAGGTTCGTTGAAATTAGTATTTTTGTTGAAATATTTTTTCAATATGATAGAAGGTACAATTTTTAAAGTCTCTTGGACATGTTTTGATACTGCAATAAACTAAGTGCTTATCAACTAGAGTCAATGAATTAATTTTTTTATTATATTATTCTAAATATTATATACATATTACTCAAACACTGTGCTCTGCTTTCATACTCACAGCCCACAACATCAGATTGAACGGCTTGGTTTTTTTTTATCTTCGGACATTGCGTTCATTGTCTAACAGGTAAAGAGCGTTTACCTGAAGATGTAGATGAAACCTGATTTAATTCTTTCTAGCATTGATTTCGTTCCATTCTTTTACTGTTGGAATTCCAGTATCTCGATGAAGATATGCAATGCGTACATACCGAGGAGTCTTTGCTTTGTTGCGTACCCTGCATTGTTTAAACGGTGACATTGATGTCCTGGCATCCTTTTCTATTTATATGATCAAAGGTAGCTCTAATACCATGACAGATCTCAACATTCAATACCAGAACGTATGCGCACGGGATAAAGATAATTTTTATAAGCGCTTCTTTCGCTTGGTTCTCTCTATTTCTATCTTTATATTCTGGAATGAACTTATACCATAATCCATAGACAAGGTATTGCTGGTAGCATTCCAAAAATGTAAGCACATTAAACAAACAAATACACGTCAAAATGTGTGTCGTACTGTCAATGGCACTAACCTTAGAAAGATTAAAGCGAGAGAGCCATAGTAGGAAGGCGGGCATTTGGAAAAACATGGGGATTAAAACCAAAAATGGTCCACTGGCTATATTTGGCAATAACAAGACCCATGATAACTTATGGAGCGGTTGTTTGGTGGCCAAAAGTAAACCAGAAAACAGCCCTCAATACCCTCTCAGGAGTACAGAGGCTGG